AGTTTTAGAGATCTTTTTCCCCATGTCTGCACGTACCAGAACATCTGCACATACTTTTGGTTGTTGCAGCTACAAGAGAAAACAGCAGTTTTTCCATGGTTTTCTATAAGACTGGAAGGGACAAGCTGAATAGTGACATCATCCACCTGAGCTGTGACATACACTATATATAAATAAATCATGAACACACATCCTGAGTTTGAAACAGTAAAATGCTTGTGCATGTTGCCGCTGACAGCTGGGTGTAATAGACTGATAGAGAACCGTGCCGGCAAAAAACATCAATGTTCATGTGAAGAAAGAGGAAGTGACATCACATTGAAATTTTCTTCAGGCCGGCAGTAAATAATCTTGAGACTCACAGATAAGAATATCACTTTCTTTAAATGGCAGAAACATTTAAATGTAACCAAAGTATTTTGGACTTATAAACATCACGCAAGTCATTATTAACAAAAAATATTTTTTCCCAATCATAGTATGAAATTAGAAAGAGGCGAATGTGATTTACTACATTCTGGGGAAGATGAATGCTGAGCTCTGGCACCCTCTGTTGGCCAGGCTGATGTATGACAGTAAGCCTACCCTGTTTGGGCACTTCTTCACGTCTGCTATCACCATTGTACTATCAGCACAACTGACAATGTTCCCACCATGTTCATACTCATGAAAAATGAGAGGTCGATCCAGCCAAATACACACTCAAATATGAAAGACCCAAGAAGGAGTGGCACATTGTGTTATGTGTAAACCTTGAGCAGATTCCCTCTGTGGAACATTCTCCAGTTCCTGGTTTACTCTCTCTGTCCATTAAACTGGGGGTAGAATTTTGATGGCAGTTTAACTGAGGCAACTGTGAGCTGACAGGTGGCCTTCCAAGCCAAGGAGTGACTTATTCCCATCCCTGGTTGTTCCTTACAAGGACTGCAGACTGCAAAGCAGATTTCCATCTCCTTGCTTCTAAGAACATGATGTAAACTACAAATATCACAATATCACAGTCCACTGGACAAAAGGAGAGAGAAAAGTAAAATTTTTCAACTTAAAGAAGTACAACTGCTTGTAATATTTTCATATGTTTTACATTTTTCTTAATAAACTTTTAACCTGTCACCTAAAGTAATTTTTTGTGGTAAAAAAACCCTATTGTTTTTACATAAACATATTTTCTGGTGTTATAAAAATCCTATTGGAACATCAACATAAGCAAAAAGAAACAAACAAACAAATAATATGGAAAAACTTTACTGACTCACATCATGTGTTTTGTCTGCCATAATACACCTGCGGGAAACAATCAAGCTTCTGTGGCGGATTGATGCAGCTGTGCTGGCCTCCGTACTGCAGGCTGGTGAAACAAAATATCAGAGAAGGGATTTTGTAGAGGAATAAGCAGATCTGAAGCACTGTGTTCACTTGCTGCACAGAAATACACTGCAGTATGTACAGGTTGAACTTTGGGAATATGAAGAGAGGCTCCCATTCCACCATCTCCAGTTATATTGACCTGATCCTTGTATGGACCTTCAATGTCGACGTTCTTGTAATAGACATATCCAATAAGTTTCAAGGCTCTGTCATCTTCCTTTTGTTGGTACCACAGTATCACCTTGTAAGATGAAATGTCATGGCTGCAGTTGAATTCTACAGAATCATCATTCTGTTTCAATAGAGCAAAGGGACTCTGCTTGACATCCTTACTGCAGACGAGCCCTGTAAATAAGGCAAGACAAGGGGATAAACTAACCAGCACTGCTCAATAAAGTAAGCAAAGGTTTGATCAACAATTTACCCGTAGCCCAGAGCAGCAAAACGGTGAACTTCATTCCTTTCAACATGATGTCCTTACTGAAGCAAGAAAGATGCATCACTGACCTGCTCTGAGGTTTTGGGGGAGGAACTTATGACATACAGACATGACATGAGCAGACAAGAGAAGTACTTCTGTATTCAATTAATGCAACCCATCTGCACCATTTACAGTGTTATACCGTTGACAGTTGCATGAACCAATTCCACTCAAATTACAATTTGCTTTTTTGATATTACTCCACAAAGCAGAAAGATCCCAATTAGCCTCTTTGTGGTAACATTGTGAACATGAATCACTTGTACCATTAAAACATCATGAGATCTATAATACATATAAAATAAAAATCAATGTTGCGATTCTGCTTCATGAAATGATTTTATAGTAGTTAACAAAATCATTGTTTTTGTCATTCAAACATCAGCTACCTAATATTGTTAGAAGAATTTAAAAAATCATACATTTAATCATATAGCTGTTTGCCTTAATGAACTGGAAGTAACTTTGCTGTTGGATCCGTTTACAACTGATGATGTAAAACAGCATTTCTAGATCAGCCCTGCATTTCTTTGCATATGTCAGAGAATGTGAATTCTTATTTCAGTAGTGTGGTATTGCATCTGATCAGAATACATGGTTGTCAAATTGATGGATGTATCATTTAATGATTAAATTATTACTGTTTATTTCAATATACATTCTGGAAGAAACTTTTCAGTTCATTGATGAACCGCCATCGTTACATCATTCTAAGGGCCCCAGAAGCCTTTCGTTTAGCCTTGTCAGTTTTGGTTAATCGACTGATGCTGTTATTTTAACCTCCTGAGACCCCACCCATTCATTTATGTCCATTTAGGTGGACATTTTGTTTTTACATCTATCTTTTCACTGATGTAAGGAAACATATTTATTCCTGTTGTAAACTAAAGAGGACAGGCTGTGAAATTAAAAATAAAAATAAATTTGAAAAAATCTAAATTGTAAGATGTCTTATTTCCTCCAAAGACAAATAACCTACAATTGAAGGACACTTTTTTCC